TCGCCAGCGTTATCCGTCCCACGTTTCTCGCGCACACACGTACTCGCGAACGCGTATCAATTAACACGCGCCACGACGAATCATGCGTACGACGTGCGCAATCGCGGACAACGCTCGGCTATGTATACGCACGTACGAACACGCGCGCCCGTCACCCACGCACTTGCACACTCCCACTATACACGCGCATCCGCGCGCGCGCGCGCACGCGCGTTAACGCACGGCCGCGAATTTTTGCCGCACCGCCGCCGGTAGCATCGGCTAATTTTACCACGCGGATCGCGCATGCAAGTGGAACGCTGTAATCTCGCAATTTATGTGGCGAAAATGGACCTCCCATCGGCTCGATCGATTTCTCCTACTATATTGCGATCTCGGATTTCTTCCGGAGTTCTTCAATGGAGCTCTCGTCTAAATGTTAAAATATGAAAAAAATTTTGATAAAATTTTTTAAATTTGATTGTAATCAAAGATGAAATTATACTATAACTGAGAATGTAAATTATATAGAAAATATGATAGAAAATGTACAGTTTTTATTTCTTTTTAATAATTTTAAATTATGAGATATACTTTTTTTAAACGACAATAATACTTACAGACAAATTAATTAATAATTAAATAAACTTGTATATTAAGTGAATATCTAATTTATGACTATATCTAATTTAAACTTGGCAGTTTAAAACGACATTTTGACTGTAAACAAGAAATTATGGGCCAAGAAAGCCGACAAAGAGATATATCTTTTAAGATGCATTGCCAAGTTTAAGATCGAGAAAAATTATTTGTGTCATAGTATGACAATCAGATAAATAGCTACTGTTTCTTTTATTATTAATTTCAAGTTTGATTAAAAATCTGATATCTGATATAAAAATCATCAATAATCCAACACAGTATCTTTATATTTAAAAATATAATCGCTTTAGATAAATATAATTATTCGCAAGTTATACGTGATAAGATATAATCATTCCATTTCTAAGTTTTGTTAAAGGATGAAATATTCTATTTTTTTCTCTAAATCAGAACATGAAATTTAATCGGATGCTTACGCAGAGACCTGCGAAGTGACCTGTAACTTTACTCGTTCACCATTTCAAAGATGAATTTATATCGGGATCTTACGCAAAGGAAAACGCAAATGACCAGTCGCGATGCTCTCATGAATCGCGCGTCATGAATCGCGCGTGCATATCGTTTGTAAACGGATTGACCCAAAGAAAACCTCTGAAATGACATAAATAACAGCGACGTGTGGGCCGTATCGACTTACGTAACGATACGTACCGCCGCGCCGCGGCCACCGCGAACCTCCGCAGAAAAATCACGCAGGAAAATTAAGTACACGCAGCGCAGAAAGGAAACGATCGTGTCTGTAGCACGACTCATTAAAAACTTAGAAATCGCTTGGAAATCGGAGAAAGTTCAGGAAATGTTCTAAGCCTCTCTGTGTAATAATTTAATAGGATATCGGTTGAATGGTTATCAGTAAATTTTTTCACTGCCAAGAAATTTATAGATAAAATAATGCACATAGTTCATAATATCTTGCGTATCTCTGTATATGGAGATAAAAACATTGATAAAAAATTATAAATAATGAATTATTATATTATTAAATTTATTATTAATTAAATTATATTTAAATATATAAATATATTCTAATTTATTTTTTATACATTTCTCTTGTCTCTTTAAAATTAAAAATAATCTCTAGTAAATTTATTTCAAGTGGTCCGATAAACGAATGAATATTTTTTTTTTATTGAGTAATTATTTTTACAATAATTTTTATAGAAACATCAATTTAAAAAAAGTAATAAAATGTTTAGATTCTCTAACAGTAAAAGAAAATTTTAATAATCGTTCGATATAAACTTTGATGCTGACATCGACGTCGGTGGCGAAACGGTTGCCACTGGCAGGGCGCCGAGTTCTCGAGAGTCATAAACGTCATTAAATAATCTTTATATTAATTTTTATCTCATTTCGATAACGTATAATTATAAAAGCAGGTTATCAGATGAAAAAGATTCTTTCACAATAAACCCGTCAAATCGTTTCACAATGCAAATATCAATGCGATTTATATCTCAATCACTTTCGAGATAAAGTGATTCTCACACGCGCGGGAATATATAGATATCAAGATATCTTTAAGTTATGTATTGAAAATATATTTTACCAGCAATAAGAGAGGTTTTTCCAAGATATTACGAGCGTCAGAATTCCAAGAAAAATTACTTCTCGATAAACCGAATTAATATCCTGGAATTAATATGAAATAGTGGGAAAAAAATGGAATAAAATGGAGTAGAAATTGTGATGAAATGATAAACAGAGATGTCGGACGGAAAGTTGCGCGTAACAATTTAAATGAGAGTAAATACCTGACGACGTGCCTAGGCTGCACCCCGTTCACTCCGCGAGCGTCCATAGATATGTACATCCACTTTGGGTTCTTAACTTTCGCTATTAAGCGATTTCGCTGAAACCGGTACTTGTGAATAAAGTTTGTAAAGCGCGGCGAGGGAGAACCCGCCAGACTGCGGTGTTTATTGCGCGGAAAAAGAGCGGTAAGCCGCAGCGGCAACTCGTGGCGTGCGCGTCCGTCTTCACCGAATTAAATCGGCGATACCGATTTACGTATTTCGTGAACGACAAACCGCTTACATGCGTGCGAATGATATAGGGTAAGTTCTTTTTTCTTTTATATATATATATATATATATATATATTTAATATCCTACGATCGATGCACAGCGTGTTTTATGCTCGGCATTTACGTGCTCAGGAACAGCTATATCGGATGTAACCGCGTGACGCGTGATTATTACAGGAAAGTGTGTTAACTGCAGAGGCTTAGGCTCGGCAAAAAAATTTACTTAACATCATTCTTTTGTTTTTGTCTGCATTGTTCTGCATTTTTCTTTATAATACGCACATGATTTTGAATATTTTGTCGCAAACAGAAATTGCAAATAATATTAGCCTCGTACATTTAACGTTATTATTATTTACATTATTAGAAATTATATAAATTATTATTACATGTGCGTTATGTGTGTACTTTATATTCCTGCATCATCTACATTAAATTATTATTACAGATTCGTATTATAAATAGTAATTATGAACTTTGTAATTTATGAATATCGAGGATGTTATTTCATACTCGTCGTATATAAATTCATCTCACGGGGATGATATGAAATATGAATAGAAAGCGTTAAGCTCGTAAACATATCAATCAATACTTCATGACAAGACTGTCGTTACATCTTTAATGAAAATGACTTGATGCGAGTTGGCAAATTTAGTTTATCGCTTAACGGACCTCTAGCGCTTCCGGCGAAAAAAAGTTTCGAAGGTTCCGGTAACAACCGACGTTATAGCCGTAAAACGATGAAATCAATGCGTAACGACCGTGCCGATGCTATATTTAGCTGGCGAGAGTACAGGTAATTCCTATAACCGTCCCGGCGCATTGACAGGTGCAATTTATCTGAAGCCTGAATACGCGCTGTGCGCGAGCCTCTGTTTTAAAACGCTCGAAAACTGATTATTCGCGCTTCGACATCGCTTCCCTCCAATTCGCGATACAGTAACCTCGCACAGTCTGCAGCGTAATTGGCCGAACGATATAAAGCGGCGTCAAAGTATAAAGGAGATATCCGCTTGATCTCCCAGTTGTCGATTTTCCACCGTTGAGAGTATTCAGTCTTCCCGTCGTTATCTGATAAATGGATCTGTGTAATTTTTCGCTTTAACCGAATCTTGAATAGCAGTCCCGTAAAAGAGGGAATTTAATTTCTAGTGTGACTAGTAAAATTCGAGCGACTAGTAAAAATTTTGTTATTCAAAATTCTACAATTGGACAATTGATACGTCGACTCGAAACTATATCAGGACCTTTATATTCACCTTATTCGCGTCACTCGTGTACGATTACTCGTAACACGTAACACTAGTTTCTTCTCTCGATAAGATTTCAGTCGGGTCTGAAAATTTTCTTGAAATAATCGAATAGCGTTTCGGAGCACTGTGTATACGACAGAGGTTCTGTCCATGCACCGCTGTAATATCGCGGGGACCAAACGAATCACGCAAGTATCGTACGGCGGTACGTACACGCCATCGCGCATATATCCGCAAATATATCACGCGAATGCACGTTTACGCGAATAACGCTTCGGCATAATTATGTGTGTGCGTGTCGCTCGCCGAGCTGTGCACATGTTCACGACACGTGCGTGCGCGCCGTTTCACGCATTAGGCAGCAGCAATAAATAAAGTCGAACGCGGGAGAAGGAATAATAAAAGATAAGCTCGTATCGGTCAGCTGATATCGGCCGTACATCTCCGGATGTGTTTGGATGCACCAACGAGTACGCGCTAAAAGTGCACTTGCGCGCGTCAATATGCTGCAAAACAAAAACAGTCTTTTAATAATGCACCGCGATTACGCGTCAAACAACAATCGCATTATTCGTGTTGCTCGCACACACCTTTTTTGTCTTATTCTCAAATATAAGACGTTTCATATCGACAATAATTTCTTGTGGAAAATCGAATTTTTTTTTTACACAAAATATCAAAATGTGAATGTTATAATAAATATATTAAGTAAAAGACATTCAATTTAAGAATCTTAGCGAATTGCGTTTTAAATAACAAAAGTTAAATTTTTTTATTTTACAATTTTAAATGGAAAGTTTAAAGATTTGATCCAATTTGTAAGAAAAATTTAATTTGTAATTATTAAAATATTAGCTTTAATTAAAAAAAAGAATTGAAAACTACGAAAAGATATAATATTGAATTTTAATCTAGAAGAACATGAATTTATTTTCCTGTGCAAAATATCTTGCTGTATCATGTAAAATCGAAGAAATCGCAATGCCTGGGCCAAGTGACTCGTATTTCATATTGAACATTTAGGAGGCGCTCGCCGTGACCGTGAATATCGGGAAGTACAAGTGTTTCTTATATAGCAGGGTTGCGGGGTGCAGTTCAGACATGGGAAGTGAGCATTACTGCCTGAGGTGGAACAATCATCAGAGCAACTTGCTGGGTGTGTTCAGTCAACTGCTGGAGTCGGAGTCGCTGGTGGACGTGACACTGGCGTGCACGGAGGGACCGTCGATACGCGCACACAAAGTAGTCCTCTCCGCGTGCTCCAGTTATTTCCAGGCCCTGTTCCTCGACCATCCGAACCGTCACCCCATCGTTATCCTAAAGGACGTACGTTTCGCCGAGCTACGTACCCTCGTCGACTTCATGTACAAGGGCGAGGTAAACGTCGAGTACTGCCAGCTATCGGCCCTCCTCAAGACAGCGGAGAGTCTCAAGGTTAAGGGTCTAGCGGACATGACGAACATCAACGCGGCGGTAGCATCCAGGGAAGAGCAACAACAGCAACAGCAGCAGCAACAGCAACAGCAGCAACAACAGCAGCAACAACACACAAGCACATCCGATACGTCGCGAGAGCATCATCGAGAACGAGAACGAGACCGAGAACGAGATCGAGAAAGCATAAAAGAAACGAGCGGCAAGGAGAGGGAACGAGAGTCGAACGTCACCACCGGAGCGTCGGTCGGTGCCAAGGAATGCGAACAACAGCAACAGCAGCAACAGCAGCAGCAGCAGCAGCAACAACAGCAGCAGCAGCAGCAGCAGCAGCAGCAATCCGGCAGCATCGCTCAGAATACCCCCAGCGAAACCGCGGAGGCAGTGGACATGACGGATTGTCCGCCGTCACCGACGGGACCCGGTAGCCCGTGTCCAGGACCATTGGCTCTCGACCGGCCCAGGAGGGATTCCGAGGACGCGGCCAGCCTCGAGGAAACGAGGGCCGGCTCTCTCAGCCCAATCTCGGTGCACAGCGGACCATCCGATATGAGCCTCAGCAACAACACTGGCGCGCCCGGTGGCGTGCTGCCGTTGAACCTACCGCAGAGCCGGCTTCCGTCCCCGCACAGTACCGAGCCCCTCGCCGGCCCATCGGGCTTACCCCCGGTCCAACAAGTACCGCTAGTAAGTAATAGTGAGATTAATCTAGGGAGAATACTACCCTAATCCGCGCAAGCGGGATTGAATTTAGAGACTATTCTCATATGACAATATTTATGACAATGATATTTATGATTATGACAATTGGTATCTAGTAAGATGAAGAATGATAAATTGAGCTTGTCACTTGAGCTTGACATTGAAATGTTTAATATTTTAATATATCTACAAATTTGTAATTTTAAATCCTCGCTCGCTCGATTACGTCAGAAAATAAATTATTTAGATAAGAATAGCTTCGAGTATTGATAAAACGTATTCTTGATATAAATGAATTCAAAATTTAAGTCGGTAAAAAAATCTATTAATTATTAAAATTCATATGACTGATTTTGAAATGTATTATAGAAATATATTATTGATATATCAATCTAGATACACACATATACACACACACACACACACACACACGCGAGAATTCAATAAAGCTTTATCACGATGAGTATTTTTACCGCATCGATGAAATATTAAATTTTTACTATAGATTCATGGAACAATTAAAATTTTTTTAAACATAAGAAATAAATATGTTATGGAAG